ATTTTAACCGCCATGAAAGATCCTTCGAACCGTTCTTTGTCTCACCCTTCACCTAAGACCAATTTGTCATGGGAGACCCTACCAGGGGCACTAAGTGCCCCAGACAACATAGCTCCTAGGATCATTAGGGCACTCAAACTCCTCCACCACGATAAGGTGACGGTTCAAGGAGGAGTTTTTTCTGTTTCTGTTAGCTATAAATTTGTGCGATTGGCACTTTCACCCCAAATTTTTGCTGCAACTCAAAAACGAATTCCATTTTTAAATTTTCTGGTAGCTTTTTTGGTTTTATTACCAATGTCTGCTGTAGGTTTTGGACCTGTAAATAAACTTGTGATGTTATTGTCAATAAATGCCCATGTAAATAAATTGGATGACACTAATTATTCTTTGCTGAAGAAATTGAAAAAGTTTATGGGTTTTTTAAACATCGGAAGGGAAGCATATGTGAAATAAAATTGAATATTATATTGTGGCTAGTTTTTGGGGGGAAATAAATGCTAAATATCACCAGATGATCATGATTTGTTTGCTTTGACTTGTCTTGTTTTATATAATCTGCTCAGTTAATTTGTTAGAGTCTAGAAAATTCCATCCATTCACCCATCCATCCATTTTCATTCGCTTATCCGGAGTCGGGTCGCGGGGGCAGTAGCTTAAGGCGAGAGGCCCAGACTTCCCTCTCCCCAGCCACTTGGGCCAGCTCCTCCGGGGGAATCCCAAAGTGTTCCCTGGCCAGGTGAGAGACATAATCCCTCCACCGTGTCCTGGGTCTACCTTTAGGTCTCCTCCCGGTTGGACGTGCCCAGAAAACCTCACCAGGGAGGCGTCCAGGAGGCATCCTGACCTCAACTGGCTCCTCTCGATGTGGAGGAGCAGCGGGTCTACTCCGAGCCCCTCCCGAATGACTGAGCTTCTCACCCTATCTCTAAGAGAGAGCCCAGCCGCTTTTCGGAGAAAACTCATTTTGGCCGCTTGTATCCGCGATCTCGTTCTTTCGGTCACTACTCAAAGCTCATGACCATAGGTGAGGGTAGGAACGTAGATCGACCGGTAAATCGAGAGCTTCGCCTTCTGACTCAGCTCTCTCTTCACCACGACTGACCGGTACAACACCCACATCACTGCAGATGCAGCACCAATCCACCTATCGATCTCACGCTCGAGTTTTCCCTCACTCGTGAACAAGACCCCAAGATACTTAAACTCCTCCACTTGGGGCAGGACCTCATCCCTGACCCGGAGAAGGCATTCTACCCCCTTCCAAATCAAGACCATGGTCTCAGATTTAGAGGAGCTGATTCTCATCCCAGCTGCTTCACACTCGGCTGCGAATCGCTCCAGCGAAAGCTGAAGATCACGTTCTGATGAAGCCAACAGGACCACATCATCTGCAAAAAGCAGAGACCTGATCCTCAGGCCACCAAAACGGATGCCCTCCACACCTTGGCTGCGCCTAGAAGTCCTGTCCATAAAGGTTATGAACAGAATCGGTGACAATGGACAGCCTTGGCGGAGTCCAACTCTCACTGGGAACGTGCCCGACTTACTGCCGGCCATGTGGACCAAGCTCTGACACCGGTCATACAGGGACCTAACAACCCGTATCAGAGGGCCTGGTGCCCCATACTCCTGGAGTACCCCCCACAGGGCCCCCGGAGAGACGCGGTCAAACGCCTTCTCCAAATCCACAAAACACATGTAGACTGGTTGGGCAAATTCCCACGCACCCTCCAGGATCCCCCTAAGGGTATAGAGCTGGTCCAGTGTTCCACGGCCAGGACAAAAACCACATTGCTCCTCCTGAATCTGAGGTTCACCAATCCGACGGACCCTCTTCTCCAGAACCCCTGAATCGACCTTACCAGGAAGGCTCAGGAGTGTGATCCCCCTGTAGTTGGAACACACCCTGTGGTCCCCCTTTTTAAATAAGGGGACCACCACCCCGGTCTGCCAGTCCAGCGGGACTGCCCCAATATCCACGCGATAGTGCAGAGCTGCGTCAGCTAACACAGCCCCACAACATCCAGAGCCTTAAGGAACTTGGGGGTGGATCTCATCCACCCCTGGAGCCTTGCCACAGAGGAGCTTTTTAACCACCTGAGTGACCTCAGCAGCAGAGATTTGAGAGGCCAACCCAAAGTCCCCAGACTCTGTTTCCTTACTGGAAAATGTGTTGGTGGGATTGAGGAGGTCTTCGAAGTATTCTGCCCACCGATCCACAACGTCCTGAGTAGAGGTCAGCGGCACACCGTCCCCACTATAGATAGTGTTGGTAGCGCACTGCTTTCCCCCCTGAGACACTGGATGGCGGACCAGAATCTCCTCAAAGCCGTACGGAAGTCTTGCTCCATGGTCTCATTGAACTCCTCTGATGCCCGGGTTTTTGCCTTGGCAACCACCCGAGCCACCCATCAGCTGCCTCTGGAGTCCCACAGGCCAAAAAGACCTGATAGGACTCTTTCTTCAGCTTGACAGCATCCCTAATCTCCTGTGTCCCCCAGAGGGTTCAGGGGTTGCCACCATGACAGGCACTGAGGATCCTGCGACCACAGCTCTGGTTAGCTGCCTCAACAATGGAGGCACGGAACAGGGTCCATTCAGACTCAATGTCCCCTGCCTCCCCCGGAACATTTTGAAAGTTCTGTTGGAGGGGGGAATTGAAGCTTCTTCTGACAGGAGACTCTGCCAGACGTTCCCAGCAGACCCCTGTGATGCGTTTGGGCCTGGCTGGTCTGACCAGCATACTCCCCCACCATCTGAGCCAACTTACCACCAGGTAGTGGTCAGTTGACATCTCCGCCCCTCTCTTCACCCGAGCGTCCAAGACATGCGGCTGCAGGTCAGATGAAACAACAACAAAGTTGATCATCGAGCTGCGGCCTAAGGTATCCTGGTGCCAAGAGCACATATGGACACCTTTATGTCTGAACATGGTGTTCATTATGGACAATCCATGACTGGCACAGAAGTCCAATAACAAAACACCACTCAAATTCAGATCAGGGTTCCTCCCAACCACACCTCTCCAGGTCTCACTGTCGTTGCCCACGTGAGTGTTAAATTCCTCCAGCAGAACGAGGGAGTCACCGGAAGGAGCACTTTCCAGCACCCCCTCCAAGGTCTACAAAAGGGTGGGTAGTCTGAACTGTAGTTTGGTGCATAAGCACAGACCACAGTCAGAACCCATCCCCCCACACGTAGGCGGAGGGAGGCTACCCTCTCATTCACTGGGGTAAACCCCAACATACAGGCACCAAGATGGGGGGCAACTAGTATGCCCACCCCTGCTCGGCGCCTCTCAGTGTGAGCAACTCCAGAGTGGTAGAAAGTCCAACCCCTCTCAAGGAAACTGTTCCAGAGCCAGAGCCATGCGTTGAGTTGAGTCCGACTATATCTAGTCGGAACCTCTCAACCTCACACACCAACTCAGGCTCCTTCCCCACCAGAGAGGTGACATTCTATGTGCCAAGAGCCAGCTTCTGTAGCCGAGGATCAGACCGCCAAGGTCCCCGCCCTCGACTACCACCCGTCACACACTGCACCCGACCCCTTTGGCCCCTCCCACGAGTGGTGAGCCCATGAGAAGAAAATTCCATTTTTTTTATTTATTCATATTTGTCTATTTTTATCTTTAAGAAAAAAATTCCATCTTTCAAGCATTATCTTTGCACTGATTGGGTTATATTTGCTTAATAAAGTCAATAAATCATGTTAACATTAAAACTTTTCAAATCCAAGTCCAGTATTCTAAATAAGGTCTATCTTCAGGCCATTTCCAGAAATAACCTTTATGGAAACTCAAAACAATGTTTTCTTGGAAATATTGCCGATAATCTGGGATTGACCTGCTGATTATGGCTGCAGGCACAGACAGCAAGGACAGCAACACTTAATATAAGAATTAATTAATGATAATAAATCAATTTCTCAACCTTCGTGAATTTATCACTGGTTGTCAAGGCTGACGTTGTTGTTTATTTTCTAAATAAAATTAGGAAACAGATCAAGTTATGACTAAAAAACTCCCAACAATAACATGTGTGTAGTTCAAAATAAAAGGTTTTTGTGTCTCCGATGTCAAAATAAAAGGTTTATTATATAATCTTGGAATTAAAACAGGATTGTTGTCTGAAACATTCAGCTGTGAAAAGGGTCAGTTTTATTTCTGGAACTGCTTGTTTTAGTGGCTCAAAGTCAAAGGCTTAGAGGAGAAAACCACCAGTGTTGTTTGCATCAAGTTTTAAGAGACCACAGCGTACGCTTCGTCTCAGAGCTGCCCAATAATATCCAGGGAGTTACTTCATACCCTGAACGATAAAGGAGGGTGAAAGGAGGTGGGTGAGTGTCAAGTTTTCTGGATTTGATTAGCTGGATAGTGTTCTCGCTAATTATGTCGTCTGGGAGCAGGCGTATTGTTGCAGTTGGATTTAATGAGCAAAATCAAATACTGTAGATTTGTCCTGAAGCAGGATTTTTCTCACAAAGGATGTTGCTTTTGAAATAAGGAGGCAAGTGGATGAACCAAACTGTGGAAATTAAAGCAAACACAAACTCCCAGACTTGAACTGGTTAATGGAAGTATCGTATTAAAGCTTGGGATAAAAGCTCAGTGAGTTATTATATTGTTCGGGATCATTTTAACAACCTCCCACAGCTATTAGATCTCCTCTGTGAACGGAGGGTTACAGGAATATTGTCTTACGTTTATTGTTCGGCGTCTTCAGCTCCAAACTTCAGACTCTGTGCAGATAGATGCTTAAAAATTTGATTTTTTTTTTTTTTTTTGCCAAATCTCTAGTTTCTAACGTTTACTATCCAGTATAATGTGAGATGTTGTTGCGGTTGAGCTTGTTGGTTGAACTCTGTCACTGTTTATAAGAGGCTTCACAACAAAAGAGTTGGTCAGTGTGGGTTTTTTACCCCCCCCCCCCCCCCCTTTTTTTTGCATTCAGCCTTTCTTATCTACAAAACAAGTCACTGCCACAATTCTAGGAATGTGTGTGACAGCGGGAGTAAAACATCTGTTTGCATGAAAGCAATTAGATGAAGTAAAAACCGAAAGACTTGACCGAGCTGCATCTGTGTGATGGGAGGCGAGACCCACAGATCCTCAAAGGAAACAGCCCACACTCTAATTAAAATCCTGCTTCTCTGTTTACATTTCTGCACAAACATGAACATACAAAGAAGAGAACAGCAGATGTGTTTTTGTGCTGTCTTTCTCATGCCACCATGCTTTTTTAGGTTAACTGCAGGTAGAATAAATGATTTAGCAATAGAATAATGTATTCCAGCGATATAATATCTAACTGAAATGCTGCTCCTTCCATATGAGCTGCAGCCAGAAGCACATTTTGACTGCAGGAATAAAATATCTTAGGACTGATTGCATGTTGGGCACACCCTTGAAGTTTGTAAAATATAAATATATACTTAAAGAAACAACCAAACACACCTGATTTTGTTTACAGAAGATGTAACCACATCTGAATCTTATTTATTGGAGGATCTTAGCTATTTTCAAGTGCTTTAGACCACACTAACAACGCTAATTCTTCAAATTTAATCAACTCCAAAATGTCCATTTTAAAGCAACTCAGAATTCCTAAGGGCCAGATAATACTTGCTTTTAATGACGTATTATCACGATAAGATAAGAGACACGATAAGAGTCAAAAATTTTGATAACGATAAATTATTGATTTATTGCCCAGCCCTGGTGACTCTGTTTCTGATTTAGAGGTTTTTCATATATTCACGATACTGTTGCTGTCTTTTTTTCTGCCGTGATCTCAATATTAACCAGTAACTGATCTGTTTTATAGAAGCCATGTTGTCTCTATCCGGCCTGAGTTTTCTAGTGTGCCCCTTGTGGAATCCTCCAGCACTAGATGCCATGCAGTGAAGTGTAGCAGGAAAAATATGAACAAAGACGCTGCCTGCACAAGTGTGAGGTTAAAAAGCAAGTAAATTCAGGCCTTTACTTCCCCATCGTTTCATGCAAACATAATTTTTTTTAAACTTTTTCAAGGCACTGCATGGGTATTTTGGCAAACAGAAGAATTCCTGCAAGACTAGTCCTCTGAATGCACCAGATGTTGTGGCTAGTTATATTTATGCTAGCAAATAACCATAGAATCCCTTGTAAATAACAACAATGTGGTGTAAAGGTTTGTAAATAACTTTGCATCGATTGATGTGAAATTTTTGAGATACTTGATTTAGGATAACATCATTCAGATTACCCATTAGCTCATCAGCCCTGTTGATTGTAAACTCTATTTCTTCAAACATAGGCTGTAGATATTTACAACTCTAGGATAGTACATTTTTATCAACTTTTACACATAAATTCTTCAAAATGGCTAAAATAGCTAAGAAGCCAATTACATTTGAGACAAACTATTAACACATTTATGGATAATTTATAAAAGGATGTTTTGTGCTTTTCATCATCTTAAGGCATGCAGAGATTTTAAATTTCTCATCAGCTGGCCAGCATGCTTTTTGACTTTCAAATAGGTTTATGACAAATAATTGAATTCATTCATTTTATGAAATGCTTATTCTGTCATAGGGAGCTGGTGCCTGCCTCCAGTAATTGGGCGAGAGGCAGGGGACACCCTGAACAGATCACCAGTCCAATGTAAATCTACACATGGAGATGAATAACCTTCCACACACAGTCATGCACACCTAGAGCTAAGTCAGAACTGCCATTCAACCTTAAAGTTTTGGAACTCTGACAAACTAGTTTAATGATTAATTCTGACCAGTCACTGTGAGTTTTTTATGCTGGCTGAACATGAAAATAGTCTCCTACACCTATCTCCTGCATTAGCTTCTGAATGAAAATAGACAATGAAACTCAAGGATTTGAAAACCCAGACAGATCTACGTCACACTGTCACTTAACATTCATGGACTCACCCATCTTGACTCACGATGGGGAAGGCTGTTTGTTGGCTTAGCGTCCCGAAATCAGCAGCTAGCTGTTAGCATTAGCAACAGAACCACAGAACTCCTCCAGGCTTGTGCTGTTTGTGGAGATGGAACATTTATGTGGCAAGTCAGCAGTAGAGTTACGTTGCTGTTATCCAATTCGAGGCAAAATATCAGATTCTGTCATGTTGTGCCACTCTGCTGCTGCAGACTTGTCCATGCCAATCCAAGCACTTCTGGGCTTTTTTTGCTCTGAGTACAGCTTGCAAGGCATCCCTAGGGACCACTGCAAATGTATTGATTAAAGGAGTTTCCCACACCTTTAACATGTATGTTTTTAGAGAAAACCTACACATGCAATGAGAACATGCAAACTCCACAGAAGCAAAGCTGCAACTTCACTGCTGCAAGGTGCTCTTCACCACCATGCAGCCCAACAACCAAATTATGATTATTATTGCATTATAAGAATATTATTGACTATCCGTGCATCATTTACTTGTTCTATTTTACATTTTTAAGAATAAAGTGTGTGTGCAACTCAGAATGTCTATTAATGCAATAACAGTCCAAAGCAGCAGCTCTGACTTGCAAGTGACTTGACAGATGCACTGTGCTTCTCCTCCTCCACTGATTCATTCGATCACATCTCTCCATAAAAACAGACACGACTTTTCCATTCACTAAAAAGCAGCAGACCTCACACCCGTTGTGTGAACTGAGGGGGTGGTGCAGCTGAAATGCTGCCCCGGCTGAGCCGCACAGAGCAGTGGTGGGCTGGTGGTGAAGGAGGGGAACTGCTGCAGAGCGGCACCGCTGTCAGGAAACAGAAGCCCACTCCGAGTGCAGCTCGCCTCAACCAGCTGGAGGACGGTCCTTCTGGTAGGAACCTCTTTGTTCTAGCTGCGATTTTTAAAATCTCCTACGAGATGCGCTCGCTTCCTGGTTTTCGGTCTGTGCGTTCTATTCGGGCTAAAACAGACCATAAAGATGACATTTAACTTCTATTTTCACCGGAAGTCATTGTTGCGAGAAAAACCTGGAGTGGACGTGGCTCTTTAGGTCAAAAACATGAGTCATAAGCTTCCTATCCAGCTAATAGCTACTTAGCTTGTTGCTATGCATTGATGCGAACCATGCCCGTTTTTACTGCTTACGTTTGCTGTTATTTTGCTGCTAAAAGTCGAACGTTTTAGTGGAAAACTACGAAGAAACGAGCCGCTTAAAGTGAGGCGAGCTAACGTGCTCAGGGGTCGAGGCAGAAAGTGGAGAATGAGTGAATAAAATATTCCGCGATTCACGTATTTACACAGAAATAGCTGAGTCACGATCAGAGAAGATTGTGTTTACTGACAGTTAACGAATAGAAGTGTTGGATTATTTGGTGGTAAGAGCCACATAGTTGGGTGTTTTTGATCTGCAGTGCGGTAGGCGTGGTTAGGAGGGCAGGATGGATTGGTCTGGATCCTGTTTTAGCATCCCTCCAGCATGGAGGATTCAGCACGCAGCGACTCGGTTCTGACATGACAATTTAATTAAAATGCACAGTAAGCTACTGTTGCAGTAGCAGAAATATTGTAGGCCCTCGTTTGTTTACTCAGTTGAGAATGGACTCCGCGTCTGGTGCACCATGACTAGAGGATATTTGTTTTATCTCATATTAACTTTTGACATGTTTATGGAAGGACGAGATCTTTGAAAAATGTGAACATTTTAGGCAACATTCTAATAATTTGTAATTTATAAATGCCTTTCTTAAATTAAAACCAGCATCTCTCTGGGCTGGGACTGTTTGCAGCAAATTGTGTTCTGCATTTGCAAAAAATGTCTCGAAGCATTCTCAATTCCCTTGCGTGACTCGCAAGGCCTTGCTGTTTTGTCGCTGAAATTATGAACATCATCAGAAAAAAGACCCCCTCAGTTTGGTTTCCATGAGTCAGATGGTGTGAGACCGCTTCCTGAGGGGTTGGCAAACAAAACGGGAATAAAATGAAGCACTTTGTGACTAAAATGCCACAAGAAAATTTGACTTGTTCATAGTTATGCCATATATCCCACATGTCCTGATATATAAGTGTCATACCTGTTCAGTGTGTTTCCAACTTTTTTGTGTCTCATTAGCCACATCCCAGTGAGATGCTAGCTTATTAAAGAGCAAGTCACCCCCAAATCAACCTTTTTTATGCTGATAAACTATGTAAATGGGTGTCTAATCGTGCTGTAGACATGTGTAGTCAATAATTTGGCACTTTGGTGCATCTTAGTTAAAATTTAAATATTCAGCATAAAACTGTCAATGTTGCGCCCTCTTCAGGTAAAAACTCCGCACTGCATTTGAATTTAAATCTGCTATCACTATTGGCTAAGAGGTACAGTATGATGTTAGCTGGTACATTATGATGTCACAATGTCGTTGTGAGCCTGTGAATGTGTTGCCTTGTTCGAGTTGAGCAGCGCCTCACCTGGAAAACAGACGAGAGCAGATGGATGCAGCAGGGGGAGTGGCTGAAAGTCGGCGTTTAAGTCTGACAGATTTCCCTACATGTGTAGCTCGCGGGTGACGATGGATGAAGATATCGTGTTGGGGTTTATACTTGTTTAACTTTTTATTTTAATGCTGGTGCCTGTTAGCAACCGAAACACATCCTCACATGCTTGCGGATATAATATAATGCATATGGAGACAGGACTGTAATAATAAGTAAAGGTTATCAGCTGTAGCTTTAGTGTGTTCATAGGAAACGTGACAAAAGAACACAAAACACATTTCTCTTTATGCCCTATATAGTTGTCGCCATCAACGTTACATGATTTGCAGAATACATGTGAACAACTAACATTTCGTATTCTACCACCGGATGTTCGGATCAAAATGTGAACCAATCAGGTCTTAGATCAGGTGAGAGCCAGGCGTTTCCAGTCATTCCCTAGGTTTTGCAGCCAGTGGAGAGCAACTGCAGCCAGGTTCCGAAATTAAATTTTTTACTCACCGGCCAAGTTGGCCGGTAGATGATGAAAATCTACCGGCCAAGCATATTTTTTACCGGCCAAAATTCTAAATGATTTAGATCCACCTAAAGCATGTAATTCTATATTATGTTGATTCCAAACAGAGTGACAAAATAATTCAAACTTCAATTAATAAGGAAAACAACTCTTTTGTCATTTTTACTATTTATTTATTTATTTTTAGAGATGTTTTTATGAACTCTTTCATTGAAACCTAGTCAGACTCCTTGTTTTCTCTGTCCATGATGTCTGGCCTCCTGCTTCTGACACCGTCTTTGTGCCAAAGCATTACAGCCTCATTTGGGTCCTAGTCCTTGATCTCTGGAGAACACAGCTGCACCATGAGAATATCTGAAAGTGTGTCAGGGCTAGGGTTGTCACGGTAACCGGTGTAGCAGTAAACCCCGGTAAAAAAGTTGACAATAAATAATAACAGTCTTGTTTAAAAAAATATAAATATATTATCTCGGTGGATTACCGTGGCTGCGGTGTAGGCGCGGTGACCCTTACCAGCCACCGTATCATCTGCTGGAAGTTGCCGGCGGCACATGCGCGCTTTGTTGTTTACGACCAAAACTTTCTTTAAGCCAAAGCTGAAATAATGGCCAGAGGAGGAGATGGCAGTTCTTGGGACATTTATTATCCCTCAAAGAAGACAAAGTCGGAAGTATGGGCATTTTTTGGATATTTGAAGAATGCCGAGGGACAGTTGTCTGTGAAAGGCAGCAACGCTACGTGGCCATCATAATGTAGCCTTTGTCTCACGACTCCGCCGTCTCCAGTTCGCCACTTTTCACAAAATCTTCTGGTTGCCACTGGTCCTGGTGGTTTTTCTTCCAGTTCGACAAGTTTTCTTTTGGAAGGCTGGCTGACTCCAGTTAAAAACCGCCACATTTCACCGCTAGTTTTAACACAAAGCTAACTGCTAACTTGATAAACTGATTGAATGGGATAGGTGGAAATGACGTTGGATGCGGCGTTCACGTTTCGCGTAAGTTTGTGTACGTTGCATGCAGGCGGGAGGAGTATCAGAAATCCGTGTTAGATGACTGATAAACATAACTAATTTGGTGCAAACATTTACTCGCCAGGTGGCAGGTAGAGCTCAAAAATGTACTCGCCAAATGGCGCAATTTACTCGCATTTGGCGAGTGGCGAGTGTTAATTTCGGACCCTGACTGCAGCACCTTGCTCCAAAATCTGCGGCCACCTTGATCTCACGAGGTTATCGTTGCCTACGTAGGCATGACGTCAGAGCAAGTCGGCGTCAAGTTGAACACAAATCTAACCGGCAAGCACTGCCGATTACCGCTGATCTAATCTGCGCAGAACTGGCTCATCTTTAACAAGGCCATTATTTGTTAGCGGCTCCGCCCTCTCGGTCCGCTGGGCAACATCATTTGTTGAATTTTTCCAACACGAAGTGGCAGTGGAGTCAGACTCTGGTAGGGGGTGACGTTTTCTTTAACTTAAACCCTAAAACAGTCTGCCTAGAACAACTTATGGAATTTATTGCTTTTTTTTTGAAGATTTTCTTAGATGTGTAATGCAAAATGACCATATTTAACTGTTATGAGAATAAAGTAATTAAAGACCAAGTTTTAGAAATGTGATCAGTCACACTATATTTCACATGTTTGCTGAACAGGAAAATAGTCTTCTACCCCTATTTCCTGCAATAGCTGCTGATGGAAAATAGACTGGGATCACAGAAGCCACTCAGATCTACGTCACACTGAAAGTTAGCATTGATGGACTCACCCATCTTGGCTAGTGACAGGGAGGGCTTTGTTGATTCAGCGTCCAGGAAACAGCAGAGAACATCTTAGCTAGTAGAAGCTAACCATTAGCATTAGCAACTCCACAACAAAGCAGAACTTTTTCAGGCTTGTTTTTTTTTTGAAGCACATTGTACTAAATAAATAAACTTTACTTACTGACTTACTAACTTGCACTTCCTGAAACAGAAGCGCTTGCGCTTTTTTCCCCTAGAGATCGACTCACAAGGTATATTCATTCATGCAAGAGACCACTGCAAATGTGTTGGAAAGAATGAGCAAATTTGGTTTTTAAAGATCAACTTTACTCATATTTTGAATACATTTGCAGCGGTTTCCAGTAGGAATGAATGCCATGTAAGTCTCACTCTGGGGAAAGAAACTCTGGTGCGCCAGTTTCAGGAACTAGAAGTGAGCCAGATCAGAGTAGAGCTGATCACGACAGGGTTTGGGGTCTTCTTTCCTGATATTTGGACATCTTGCCTCTGATTGGCTAACAGCAATGCAAATCTACCACTGACTTGCGACATTGATGTTTTTTCTTCACAAATAACAAACCTGGAGGAGTTCTGCTGTGTGGTGGAGTTTCTTCTACTAGTCAAGACGATCGCTGCCGTTTCCTGCAAGCCGAACCAACAACAGCCTTCCCTGTCGCGAGTCAAGATGGGTCAACACATTCTCAATTTCTCAATAACATAAATGTTCGATGACAGTGAGACGTAGATATATCAGGGTTTTCAAATCCTAGAGTTTCATCGTATATCAAAAGCTAATGCAGGAGATAGATGTAGGAGACTATTTTAATGTTCAGCCTGCATGAAAAAACACACAGTGGCCGATCATTATCAGAAATAAGATTTAAACAATGTTTTTTCAATTATGCAGAACTTTCAATGCAAATAAGTAAATTTCATTAGAAATAGACCTGCCAACATTTTATACTAATCTGCGTCAATCAGAGGCAGCAGGCTTGCAACCTTATGGTCAAAATGTCAAACGACAATGTAGTCCCATCATCATTTCTGTGGATTACAGGCACTCTCCAGTTAGCTCTGCGTCAGTCTCAGTCTTCAGTCATGACCCACTGCCTCTGCT